TAGGAGCTGGGAGGTGGGCAGACTACCTCTTTGGTATAAACTTAACATATCTGCTATTTCAGCAGCTGAAAGACACCAAACAATTAAGCAGGGGTTCAGTTTGAGGGCTGGCATTGAGATGCAACTTTCTATTTATAGATAGGTTTTTTTGATAGGATGAAATGAAACAGGCCAAAAATACCTTACAGATGTCCAGATTGCAAGGTCCCTGCTGTACATTTTGCATAGAGTTACAGTGGAGCTGATGTGTAATATATTCTTAATTAAAAAAAAACAAAGTAAATTTTTACTATTGGGAAGTAGGTTCACCAAACTGAAGACTGTAAGCTCAGATTGTCAACAAGGGCAATTTATCTTAAATCTTTTGACTTCAGTAAGAATTATGATATGCAAAGCACCAGTACAAAAAAATAAAACCAGAATGTCTATTCTTGGTATATCATTTGGACATAAGTTTTCCGTATGTAAAAAACTGTAAATTGAAAACACATGAGAAATTGTTACCCTCTTATTTGCTGTTTAGTTTTCATGGAAAAAACCTCCAAACATCTGCTAATTAGTTCTTGTTAACTATTACAACATTACTTCACTGGACTACTGAAAAGAAAAGGGAGAAAATCGAGGGAATTAGCTAAACAAAATAATCCTTCAATATGGTACTACTGAAAGCAACACAAAATGTGAGTGATGGGCTTACATTACTTGAGTCGTGGCAGAGAAACAACTTTCTGGACTGTATTGGTTCTCTGTTTTCTTCTCAGTCTGGTTCTCATGAGTAGTTCAAAGGAAGCATAGCAAAAAAAGAAAAACTAAATCCATGTTAAGCAAATATAAAGAGATCTACCCCTAAGCATGTACCAAATGTCAAAAAGATAAAAATTCCATCTTTCCTTATTTTTCCTGCTTCCCAAATCTGGATGATATTTTAAGTACCTAATGCTTGTTTCAATCTTGCCAAGACTTTACAAAAATGAAAAATTTGGTTAGAAGGGCAATGTAAACTGCTTTCTTGTTTTTTCAATATGTCACATCATCTAAGCACTAATCATTGTGCTTTTCTAAATTATAAGGTGCTTTAGCAGGATTAGAAACTCGAAGGTAACTTAGATATAACTTTAAGAGCCGGAACCTTTTACATCCAATTTTTGCATTAGCCAGTGAGTTTAAAGAAATGGAAGGTTCTGGGAATTCTTGGAGAAATGAAGAAGCCATCTTCATTCAGAGAGACAGGGAATTGGTCTGGTGATGTTGAGAAGTGAAATGAAACCCTCAAACCAGAGTCTGCTGGAGTTTACACGGAGAGAAAAGACTTTCCCCAGGCACACCCTTTGTGGTTGTTCTGGGTGACAGCAGATGATTCCTGTGACCTAGCACCATAATTTCACAATGGATTGCATTAGTGTGATCTGCCTGGCATTCTGATGTCTCTTCTTCCTGCAGTGGCAGTAGCACCTGGGAGGTGGATGAAGTGGCATGAGCTGGGAGGCCTTCTGCGTGTTTTCCAGGGGGAGAGATAATTTTGGGGGTCCTGGAGGATGCTGCCTGTACTTTTTGCTGAGTTTCCCTGGCTGTAGACACTCTGAGTAGAAGAACAGAAATTATGGAGTGCAGGCAGAGCATTCAGATGTTTGCATGTAATAAATTCAAGACAACAGCAATATAAAACCCCTGCTGCTGTGTGAGCACAAACATAAAATGCAGCATCCTTTTTTCTTTTTTTTTTTTTTTGTGTATAAGTTGAGGACTGTGTAGCAAAGAGGGTAGCTGAAATCTACATGTTGAGACAATTAATTATTCTGGTTTTCAAGACACACTGAATTGTAGAAGGGAATTCATCCTGTTTAAATGTAGCAGCATTACATTGACAGCAATGCTGATTTCACTCTAAGCTGAAACTGAGGTTGGAATACCTTCTGAATTTTCAATCTATTGATTATTAAGTTAAATAAATGAGTTGAGATTTTTTTCCAGCAGAATGGAGGGGAGTGTAAGGAACTGTGAATGCAAGTCAGGTTTCTTTGGCACCTTTTATTTCTTGTGCAACAGTTCTGCAGTTCAATGATATATAAGCAAGGAAGAGTTGAAGGAAAAACCGTTCAGACAGTTTTCTAGCTTATGTTTTTGAGAGGCCATTGTGGTCTGTACAGGGTTCTTGCAGGTGATGTGCTGTCGTGGTTTAACCCCAGGCAGCAGCCAAGAACCACACAGCCTCTCAC